CTGTCTCTGTTTTTTGTTTGTTTGTTTGTTTGTGTTCTTCTTGGTTGTTCCATGTCAATATCTGTAGACCTTCTTTTGTTTTACCACTGATTTCTTTTTCCTGTTCATCTGCCCAGGACCTCGGGTGACAATAACTGTGAGAGTAGCCCTCCTTGTTAGTGATGGGGTTTCTCCATCATGCATGGTTTTGCTGTAGGGGTTTGCTGGGCAGCCTTCATCATGCTGAGAAAGTCCTCTCTCCACATTGCCTCGGAGCCTTTTATTTTCATATAGTGATAGGCAAGTTTATCAAATGTTTTACCTGTGTCCTTGATGAACTATAGTGAAGAATTAATGAATTTCCTGATGTTGACCATCACTGTGCCATTTTTTACATAAACACGGCATCTTGTTGTTTTAACACATTGCTGAATTTGGATATTGTATTAGTCTCTGTTTCATTACCATGATGAAATGCTGAGACAGGTTACTTTATAAAGAGAAGAGATTTATTTAGCTTGGGAGTTTGAGAATCCAAATGCACATTGAAGGCTCTGGCGAGGACCTCCTAGACAGTACCACTGTGGTGAGAGTTCATGTGGGAGGAAGAGGGCTCATTGCCAGTCAGGAGGCTACAGAGTTGGCAGGGTCAGACTCAGGCTTTTACAATAGCAGCCTGCCCACAGGAATTAACCAAGGGTCCCATGAAAGCTACCTTAATCCCTCCCAAGGGCAGCACCCTGTGACTTCCCAAGAGGCCCTGCCTCTTGAAGATTCCATCACCTCCCACTCACCACACCAGGGACCAAGCTTCCAGCACATGGACCCTTGGTGGACAAACCTCACTCAAACCATAACATGTGGCTAATACTTCATTTAAGGTTTTGACCCTAATGTTCATAAGTTAGCCTAAGTTAATAGGCCTGTAATTTTCCTAAATTTGCAACTGTTCCACTCTGATTTTTGAATTGGAGTTATACAGGTCTCATCAAGTGAGGTCTCCTCTCACTGCTTTTTCCAAGCCTCTTGTGTGAGACAGTATACAGAGCCCAGGGGAGCCATCCTTGTCGTCATCAGCATCATTTTGGCACAAGAGGGATCCAGATGTTTCCAATACAATTTCTGGTCCTTTTCTGGTTACTAATTTCCTAAATATTAGTCTCACCTAGTGCTAATATTTAGCCTTCATATTATTCTAGAAGTTTAGTTAAAATTCAAGGGTTCAAGGCTACTCTGAAGTAAGCCAGTTGATGGATTGTGGATGCAGGCAGAGAAGGCAGGGCTGTGGTGGAAAAGCAGGTTACTGACAGTGACAGAGTCAGAGTTGAGGAGGAGTCAAAATGAGGTTGGTCAGGAATAACCCAGCCATTCCTGCCATCACTGGTCCAGACTGACTGCAAGTAGATATCTAACAAAGCAGATATGTGGAAACTGTGTAGGCTGTGTGATGAAGGTGGCCTGCAGCTGTGCCTAGCATCTAAAACCCTCTCAGTGATGTGACCTCACCACGCCCATCAAGAACCAGTGACCATGAGCTGCTCTGACCCAGAGAGGAGAGTGGGAGCAGTGCTGGCCCAACCATGGTGGGCCTAGCTGCTCTCAGTCCTGACTCTTGGCAGCCGCCTTGTGAGAACTGCTCCATTTGGGAGGCATCTCTGTCTTCGGGGTCTCCACGGTGCCCAAGCGTCTAGTCAGAATCCCAGGTGCAGGGCGGCTCTGCTCAACTCACCTGGAACACAGGTGCAGGGTACTTCGTGCTCAGGGTTCCCAGGGGTGGCCATGCTCTGCAGCACTGGGGAAGAAGGGAAGGAACATGGGCTGCAGCCAGCTTATTGACACTGTGGGAAGAGGAGGAATGGTGAGGGTGGTCCTGCCTAGGACTGTCCAGGGACAAGACATGCCAGCCACTGTACACAGCACACAGGAGCCCGCTCCAGAACACAGCGGCCAAGGATGAAGAGCAGCCTTTTGCAGTGTTATGGTCCCTACCCTGGCAGGTTCTCAGAGAGAGCATGACAAGGCCAAATTGTGAAGAAAAATGAACAAATTTGACTAAAATACGGTTTCTAACTTAGTTACCAATGCCATCCATACAAGAGGGAAAAAAGCCACTCATTGGAAGGAGATTTCTGACTCTTAACCACAAAGGGCCAGAGCCTCCACACACAGCTACTGCCTCTGGCTCTGCCTCACACGGGTGTTGATTTGAAGGGATACTCCCAGGTGCTCTAGGTCTTCTGATTGGGAGGTCTCACACATTCATGCAAGTCAGGACTCATGCACCAAATCTTTTGGTCTGTGCTTACTATCTGCTGTCTTAAGGAAAAACAGATAAGCAAGCAGAAACAGGACCATGTTCCTGGAAGAGACAATATAAGTGGACAAAAAACGGCTGGATGGCAAGGAAGTCATGGTCTAGGAATAGCATAAGTGGCCAAAAGGATGTCAGTTGGTGTAGCCCTGCCATTGCCCTGCCCCAGAAGGCTGCTGTGGAGAGCAGGGTGGAGTAGGCAGGGCCAACCTCTTTCTCTCACAGAAGGGCTCCAAGGCATCCCACAGGTAGGGGATGAAATGCTTTGGTAGGCTGGGGATGGAGAGGGTGGCACAGCGAGTGTCTGTCCATCTGTCCATCCACTGCAGCCAGACTAGCAGTGAAGGCAGCCCCCAGAGGGTCGTCTAGGATAGGGAGAGACTCACGTTTCGAGCATAAGGAGGCCAAGAGCCTGGGTTCTGGCGACTACAGCCTGTGTTCCTGGCTGCATGGGGATATGACAGGGATAAAGACCAGCCAAAGGAGGACTAGCCACTTGTTTGCTCAGAGGGGAGGCAGGCAGGGGGAAGGCAGCTTCATGGAGGGGGAGACATGGGGATGCTGTAGGCTCCCAAAGGGAGGTCCTGCAGGGTTGTTTTGAGGGACACACATGACTTTCTATGATTGGCTTCTAGTTGGAAGCAGGGAGGAGTGGAGATACCCAGGGAAGCTGCAGGTCTGGGCCTGGCTGCCCTTGTGGCTGTGGTTGGGTCAGTGTGGTGCTCCTCCATGATGTGTGGCTTGCCATTGTCCTTTGTGTGCTTAGTCTCTTGGGCCCAGATCAAGCAGTGCACTGGATCCAGGGGACAGATCACAAGACTGCACTCTGAACCCTGTCCTAAAAGAAATAGCCTAAGGTAAACAAAAGAGGAAAGGCCCTTCCCAGGTGCCCTGGACCCAGCACAGCAGGCCTCCAGTGACCTCTGAACATCCTTCCTGGCACTACATGTACAGGGTGGGCGTGGACACTTGGCAGGCACCTCTAGGAGGCATTGTGGCCTCAGTGTGCAAAGGTTTTCTTAGTGAGTGCTTTGCTGTATGGAGTCTGACCACATCTGTGGTTCGGGGAAGGCTGCACAGATGCTTTCTGTAAGGCTGGTCTGCAGGAGCCTGTCAGCAGAATTGGTTGCAGTGCCTGGCTGTTTTCTGCCCAGGGCCTTAGCAGAGCTCTGGAAGCTCCTGGGACCCAGGAAGGAGTGCTGAGAATTAATGGCTCATAACAGATGCGGGTTCTGTGGGGTCACAGCATTAGTGTGCCCAGGAGACAAGAGTCCTTCCTAAAATGGTCTAAACCCAAGGCTTCTAATCTGCATAAGAAAGGGGCCCTGAGGCCTGAGAGCTGAGTCATTTCGTGCTTTTTTCTAAGATAGTGAAAACTTGCTTTAATTTCCTTTCTGGAGGGTGGAAAGAATGCACCCTAGGAACTGAGGCATTCTTCCACTAAGCACATAGTCATTGATCCCTGTGTGCAGACATACTCTGTGACACCTGGATGGATCAGTGAGTCTAACCCACAGTAATCCCATTTCTCCTGGAGCTGGGGGGAGGGACCACTGAGATTAAGAGTGTCAGCAAGGGGCTGACTGATGGAGGTGACTTGAGCAGCACCACTGCTAGGACTCTCCCTCATGTCCCTTCCCCTCCCCTGAAGCCTTCCACTGCACCCTGACATTACTTTCTAAAATGCAGCACACATCAGTCCCTGTCCTTAGATGCCTGCACTAAGTGAGACCTGCCAATTCCCTCGCCCCAGGTCTCCCACAGCCTCTGTAGATGGCATCTGCCTCATGGCAGCTCCTGACTACAGTGGTTGGTCCTGACCTGCTTCCAGTCCTGTCTTCCCCTGCCCCGTGGCTGGAGTGCTCCTTCCTCCTGCAGCCCTCCTGGTTCAAGGCTCAGCTTCAGGGTCACCCCCAGGAGCCTCCCCTGAAGTCAGTACCCCCTTTAAGTTTGTAGCCCCTCTTTTTCTTTTTCACAGAACCCTGTCCTTTCCTTTCCTCAAGTTGACTGACCTCAATTCATGGTTCTTCATTTGTTTGCCTTTTTAATGCTTTGTTATTGAGCTCAGGCTCTGTTTTCTCTCATCCATCCCCTATGTGTTTAGTGCACAGTGGGTACTCAGGGTGTAGCCGCTCCCAGATTACGGCTTCTCCCTCTGCTTGTGAAGTTGAGGAGGGTAGGCACATAGTGCTGCAATGGTGTAATAAACCTTAGCTCTGTGGCCCCCACCTCCCATCTCTAGTCCATTCACTGCAGTCATTACTGTCCTTCCCCGGTTGGCAGGCAGGACAGGGAGCCCATGGGCAGTCTCTGAAGTTGACTGGCTCCCGCACAGAGTGCCGTGTCAAAGGAGTAAGGATGTACCTGGTCTGAGTTTTGAGGGACTCCTGTAGGAGTGTCATTTTCATTAGAAGTATTAAAATGAAGATAGGCTTACACTTTTGCAATTTCCCCCAGGTTTAAAGAAAAAAAAAAAAGTGAGACTCCTTGATCCCTTCTCAGAACTAATCCAGCCACATGTCCTCATGGGAGTGTAATAATGGACACTTCGCAGCTTAAGATAGACTTAAGAAGACTTTCCTGTTTAAAATGTGAACTGCTAAACTAGCCAGCCACTTCTCCCTGCCATGTTTTTCTCACTGTTTGCAGCGACTCTGTGCAATGCTGCACCTGCAGTCCTGCCTCTCTAATGTGCCTCTTCTCCCCGCAGCTGGAACGTGGTGGGCATCCAGGGGTCGCTGCTCAGCATCTTTGTGGAGCCCATCTACTTCTCAAGCATCATCTTGGGTAGCCTGTACCACGGGGACCACCTCTCCAGGGCCATGTACCAGCGGATCTCCAATATAGAGGACCTGCCACCACTCTACACCCTCAACAAGCCCCTGCTCAGTGGCAAGTACCCCAGGCCATCCCCTCACCCGAGCTCACAATTTCCAGGACCCCCGTGCCACTTCCTCCCTCATGCCCAAGCTCCCAGTGTCCAGTTCCCACATCTCACCTACCCCAGGCCAGCCAATGACCACCATGCAGTGGCAGAGCCATTAAAAGGATGTACAAGGCTGTATCTCTGAGCTGTCAGGCCTGGTTTCCAGGGCCTTCTAAGTGAGTCCCTCTGCAAAATTAATGCCTGTCACTGGTTGCAGACCTTGCCATTGGTGAGTGAAATCACAGTGGCCTGCACCCCTGTGATTTCTCTCATTTCTGCTGCACATTCATTCCCTTCCTCAGCAGCAAATATTCATAGACATATTCATGAAAATGATGTAAGCATTGGCTTCCCCAGGCTGTGGCTTGCTGGCCAAGGTGTCCTCGCAAGCTGCCACCCCAAGCATTGTTGACAGGTGTAGCAGGTGTGCCAACCTCAGGCAGACCCCACCCTCAGTGGTGTCTCCTGCTCTCACAGCCCTGTTACTGGTTTCTTTTCTTTCTTTAGAATTTCAGTGGCTAATGATAAGGTGAGCAGGAGCTTTTGAGTTCAAGGGTCCTAACTTCTAAGCCCACCCTTATTTAAAAGGACACAGTTAAGGTATTTTTATCATTCTAAAAAGGTAATTTTACTTACTTTTTGTAAGCTCAAAACTAAAACCATAATCCTAAACTAAAACAGGCTTCTTGTGGTGTGTGTGCTCTGCCTTGTTTCAGTGCTTGGCTACTAGCATGTCTTGAGAGAAAGCAGGGTGGAGTTTTTTTGGGGGAGTATGTCTGTCAGAACACATGAATAAGCAAGGGTGGGAAGACAGACCTTGTCTCAGATCAAATTTTATAGCTCCGCAACCCTAGCCATTACTCTTGAAGAACAATAAAATTGACTGATAAAATTCAGTGGGGGTAAGTTGAACTCAGAGCATCAGTGCCGTTTGGAGTGTTTTGCTGTGTATTATCGCATGAATTTCTCTTGAATCAGAAAACAGTTTTCTCTGTCTGTTCTCTGTGTGATACATTTAAGGAAAGACTGCTTTATTAGCTATTGCTATAACAAGATATTGGAGGCTGGATCCTTTGTCAAAAAAAAAAAAAGAGAGGTTCATTTAGCTCACAGTTTTGGAGGCTGAAAGTCCAAGATCAGGCACCCCCATCAGTTTGATATCCAGCAGGGGCCTCATGAGGATTGGGACAGTACCACAAGGGAGGGAGCATGTAGAGGAGACATCCGAGGTGAGAACGGAGAGAGCAAAGCAGAGGTCAGGCTCACTCTTTCTATAACAGCTTGGTCTCACAGGAACTAACGAGGGTCCCATGAGAACTACATAAACCCTCCTGAGGTTATACCCCGTGACTTAACCACCTTCTACTAGGCTCCTCCTCGAGGAAAGCCCCCCACTCCTCAATGTCACCACACTGAGGTTCCAGCTTCCAGCACATGAGCCTTTGGAGGACGCACTCAAACACATCCCAACTATAGCAAGTGCCCGTTTCAGCTGTCGCTGTCAATTCTATTCACGGAAACTTTAAATATGGCATGTGAGACATATGGCACATAGGAGAGGCCCCAAAATAGTCATTCATCAGGACCTCATTGAACAGGACTATCTAAGTGTTATGCCTTCCATGACTAAAGTCTGAAATGAAAGGATCATTTTGCTAAAGAGTTATTCTGAGATATTGAAAGTAGAGCTCATTTATAAAAGTCAAATGTGTTTTCATCATGATCTGTATATATATATATATATATATATATATATATATATATATACATCTGTAAAGGATAATGAAAAATCCTATCTGCAAGGTAGGCTTTAAAGTTACCTATGTATTACAAATATATGTTACATTTTTGAGAACACAAAGCATAAATTAACCTTCACCCTCCTCTCCTAGTGCCATCCCTAGTCTCGAAGGCCTATAGCTTGTAACTGTTCAGTCTTACAGTCTCTCCCCCAGTCCATCTGCCTTCCCAGAGGCTGCAGCTGTATGGGGGCCGAGCCATGCTCACCCCATGCATGGCAAAGAGGGCCTGAGTTAGAGCCCAGGGCCCTACCCTGCGTGTGTACCACAGCGTGTGTGCTTCAGTTTCTTCATGCCCGGTGATGGGCATGACTCTTTGTGATCCTTCTGGGTGAGTGTCACATTTCTGTGAAGGTACAGGGACACTGCCCAGCCTCAGGAAGCAGGGTGTAACTCGAGGCTAAGCCAGAGGACAGTACCTCCTCCAGCACTAGAGCCCATTTAAAATGCAGATTGCTTGAAATGTTTTGCTTTGGAAACAGTGGTGTGGTGCTGTTGCTTCAGCTTTGGGGAACACACCTTTAGATGAGGACACTGTGAGGTCAGCAGGAACTTAGGTGATGCAGGGACTGAGTAGAGGACGGATGGACACCTACTTTCTGCTTCTGAGTAGTCAGATGACTGGAGAGTTAGGATGGAGGCAGATAACAGTGGGTGTCGTTGGAGACAAAAGCAACTGGACAAGAGAAATCTGGAGGGGCCAGTGCTGACATCCTCATAGATTTAGGTCATGTGCTTGGAATGGGCCCCAAAGCAGAGCATTCGCAACTGTCCTGCAATGTTAAGTCTTCATTTAACAAGCAGACTGGACACCGTGTTGTGGGTTTGGGGGCTGTGGGTTGGTAAAAGAATTACTGAGACCATAAAATAGGGGAAGCAAAGGTTTATAGGACACCATTAAAGGGAAACAAAGCCAGCTAGATAGGGAGTGTAGTGCTCCAAGGCAGGACGAGTGTAGGTTTTATACCTTGATTGGGGCTGCTTTTGGTTGGCTTGTCTCCCTGTTTGTGAGCCTTGTCGTTTGGTTGTCTCTTCCTTGGATCATGGTTTGATTTTCACACACATGAGAACATTTCACTCATGTTTGGCTCTTGGTCCTGCATACATATGAGCAACCAGGACATTTGGGTTGTTGCTTTTGGCCGTTTGCTGAGTAGACACAGTGTGAAGTCTGTGTGTGTTACAGTTGGTGCTTTATCTGGGGGACCCTGTCACCCCGTTTTTTGTGAAAGAGAACAAAATATCATGTACAAAGTGAATTGTCCGGGGCAGGGGGGGAAGGGGGTAGAAATGACCCAAACATTGTATGCACATATGAATAAAAGAAAGAAAAAAAGAAAAAAAACAAAGTGAATTGTCACGTTGTTAGTGAAAAACAGAAATTGACATCCCTACCACACAGAGTGACTAAACTCACAAAACAAAGCTATCTGAAACCCAAAGCAAATCAAGGTAAAAATTCAGCAAAGGCTGTTGCTTTGTTTTGTTTTTAATGCTGTCAAGATTGAAATGAGAAGAATCTAACTTTTGTTTCAGCATGAAAACATACCATCTTTGAGAAGGAACTTCCAGGTGGCTCTCTGTGTGCAGTGGGCCTTGCTGTGAAGCCCACAGTGCTTCCACAGTGGTGTGGAAGTGGAGGTCTCTCTAGCTTCCTCAGTACTGTGTCCCAGTAGCCACAGGGCTGGCATGTCCACAGTTCAGGGTAATCCCAGTGTCTGGCTCTCATCCCTAGGTTCCCTGAATCTGAGCTCCTCCACTGGCCCAATTTGTTGTCCAAGGCTCATGAAGAACACAAGAGGAAAGCCCAGAGGTGCTGACTGTCCCTGCACGAGGGCTCCAGGGCCCAGGTGGCAGACAAGCCACTCTGGAAGGATTGATGTACCATGCTCCCCTCAGTGCCACTTCTGATGTGGACATTGTCAAGAGCATGAACAAGCAGTGTTGAGGGGCTGTCACTGCAGCCCCCAGAAACAAAGCTTGAGTCTAGGTCCAAATTAAGAGAAAATAACATAGTATGTAGACGGAATGGAAAATGAATTTGTTTACCATTTTGGCCAAAACTGGGGAGAAGGAAATTCTCAGTCTGTCTCTACCTGCTCACAGCAGTATTACAACCTATAGAAAAGATTAGACAAACACCAGGAAATCACATTGGTAGGATAGCCTTTCTCCTGGGAGGGAAGTGTTTTTTAGCTCAGGATTCTAGTGGGTGACCTATTTTCACTGCCAGCATGGTATTTCCTGTAGGAACCCTAATTCCTACCCATCCCTTACAGGACAATCCTAATGAGTCCACCCTGTGCTTGGGGAAGCTGTGCAAGGACAGCAGGGGCTCAGAGGAGGCTGGCAGCAGAGCCAGGCTTAGGAGCTGGACAGTAAGGCTGCAGCCTTTTCTTGCAGAGGAGCAGGAGCCATTCATCAAGGGGTCAGGAGCAGCAACACGGATCAACTTTCTCTGTCAACAAAGTGGTTACCTTTTTCAAAGAAAGTCAAAATGAAAGATTGGGAGGTGCTCTGCTCCCTGCTTAAAGGACGTTTGTTTGTAGACCCAGAGGTTCTCAGAGGCCCCTCCCTCTTGTGTTGGGTGGCTTTGTGGGGCCGTCACGGGTGGGTGCCAGGCACATGGCTTTTCTTAAGTTTGCTCCTGCCCAAGCCTTTCCTGTTCCTTATTTGCAGAATAAAGGTCACATTCAATTGAGATGTGACCCTAAGTATTTGTTATTGATCATTAGAAATATGCCTCATTACTTATCACCTTCTTATGTGAGGGACCTATTAGAAAGTATCTTTACGGTGGAAAGAAGAAATGCAAATACCGGCTTTTCTAATTTTTTAGTTGTATTAGTTATTAGGCTAATTCAGCTTCTCTGTATTTTTGCCTTAAAAGTTCTGATTCAGCACACTTAATTTACAATAACCGGGGGACTCTCATTACCAGCCGAGTCGTTCCTGCTTTTATTGGTTTCTGCACAGTGGCCTATGATCAACTCATTACCCTAGTTCTCGCTTTGCAGCCCCAGAAAGATCAGCTGCTCATGGGTGTCAGTCCCCAGGACTTGTGGAAATGCTCTCTGGTGAACATTTAGGGGCTTCCTGCCCCAGAAAAAGCATATATTAGTGTTGGAACCTCAGACTAGCTGACTTCTTTTTGCTTTCTTTACTCC